GAACCAGAAGCTTGACTATACTAGTCCCACCCAATCCAGAAGCACATTATGTATAAAAGATCAGTAAAACCCGAGCTGGATGCTCAGCTTTGGACATGAGTCTGCTGGGCTGGCAGCAGTGTGAAATAAACAGTCTTTTCTGGTTCCCCAAGAGCTTGATGCTTGTCTCTTCCTGGGTGCCGAGTATCTGCTGTAACGCTATAGCCTATCATCACGTCTTTATTGTGCATCTACTATGTGCTCAATACTTTGTTGGGTGCAGGGGGTGGGGAGTGGTAACTAAAGTCATCAAGACATGCCCTTGGCTTCCCAACCCAGGGAATTATCCCTGTCCTGCCTCAATTCTTTTACTCTGCTGGTTATGGCTTTTCTGGAAACCACTGGGAGCCTCTTCTGTCTAATACACCTACTTTAAAGTATCTCCAAATCTCTAAAATGCTTTAATCCAGAGGGATAGAGAGTGAGAGATTATGACTAGTCTGAATGCCTGCCTACCCAATTAGACGGAAATTTCTCCACCAATGAAGAATCCAGAAATTTTTGTCCTGAGTGTCAATTTTGTTCTATAAAAGATAAATTAGGGGCGCCTGGGTGGCTCAGTCGGTTAAGTATCTAACTTCAGCTCAGGTCACGACTTCGCAGTCCCTGAGTTCGAGCCCTGCATCAGGCTCTGTGCTGACAGCTCGGAGCCTGGAACCTGCTTCACATTCTTTGTCTCCTTCTCTCTGTCTGCCTACCCCCCACCAAAAGTAAATAAACATTAAAAAGTTTTTTTTTAATCATACTTATTGTGGTAGAATGGAGAAACTGCAATCATTTTTGTTAACTCTAGCTCACCAAGAATTTTTTTTCCCCCTTTTCCCCTCCTTCTCACTAAATTAGCCATCCCCTCCTCCAAACTCCCAGACGGATCTGATGGCAGTGACACAGTGATAAGCAGCAGAACTTCCTCACCCCTCAATGAAGAAGAACTACTTTTCCACTTTCCAGAAGCCTCTAGCAGATTACAGTTTGGAGATGAGAACTGACAGGCATACAGCTTCACACTCACAAGAACAAGTGTAATCCCCAAAGGTAACAGAGTGCTGGCAGGCACGTGGACAAAGCTGAACCCTCACTCGCTGTTGGCAGAAATGGAAAAGTCTGGCAGCTTCTCAAAATGCTAACCACTGCCAGGTGGTCCCACTCCTAGGTGTATGCCCGAGAGACGTGAACCAGCCACACAGACACTTGTCCACGAACGTTCAGAGAAGCATCATTTGTAACAGCCAACGAGCAGAAAGCACCCAAATGCCCACCAACTGACAACTGAATAAAGAAGACGCGTTACATCCATACAATGGCGTATTTCTCAGCAATGAAAGACGAAACACTGACACGTGGATGGAGCCTGAGAACATCAGGATAAGGATTCCGTTTGCACAAGATGTGCAGACCAGGCAAATCTATGGAGACAAAATAGATCAGTGGTTGTCAGGGGCTGGGAGGATGAAGAGGGCCGGGGAGTTACAGCTAAGTGACACAGGTTTCTTTTTGGGGTGATGAGAATGTTCTAAAATTGATGGTGGGATAGTTGTACAACCCCGTGAATCTACGAAATGCCACAGAACTATACACTTTACTTATTTTAAAGTGGGACAGCCCAGGGGTGCCTGGGTGGCTCAGTCGGTTAGGCGTCCGACTTCGGCTCAGGTCACAATCTCACGGTCCGTGAGTTCGAGCCCCGCGTCGGGCTCTGGGCTGATGGCTCGGAGCCTGGAGCCTGCTTTGGATTCTGTGTCTCCCTCTCTCTCTGCCCCTCCCCCGTTCATGCTCTGTCTCTCTCTGTCTCAAAAATAAATAAACGTTAAAAAAAAAATTAAAAAAAGAAAAATAAAAG